CGATTTGAGCTTAGCAGTTCAAATGTTCACTTGTTTTATTGCAACATTGCAGGAAGATTTCCTTCGGCTGACAAAAGAAGATATGGTGCTCGCTCAATATGAGAACTATTCGAGCTTCTTCACATGCAAATATTATCCACCGACTGAATATGATGTTGTAAGGAGATACTTGCTGATCCTCTTTCTTGGCCTCCATCTTATACACCCAACTTGTACTCAGTATTCCCAAGTTCAGATCGGTTTTCGTCTTACTCTTCAAAATGAGATCTTGTTCTTCTCCGACTTTTTGTATCTATTTCCTTTTGTTTTATGATAGTAGATTTCCTTAGGTGAAGGCGTTTTACTGGATTTTTTCACCTGAAAAGTTGAAGAGCCAGGCTCATGTCTGGTTCTGGGGCCTGTCGATGAGCGTCTTTTGCGTTCAAGCTTTCAAAGTCAGATTTTCAGGGATGAAAGTATGCAAAATCTCTAAGCATGCAAAATTCAGTTAACGGTCTTTGGAATTTATTAATGTGTGCTCCTGATTTTGAAACAAATTTTCGCCAATTTGAATGTGTTTACTCGCTAAGCAAATTACCTTGCTGCTTTTATACTTCAGAAACAAGCTTCACTATTTGAAGTGAGTTAGAATATTGACAAATTTTCAGTCACAATGTGGATGGGCTGCAGAAGACGCATCATTTATGATAAGATATCACCGCAGACGAATCGGCACGCTACACTGCGCATCACGCTTTGAAATGGTTATCAACTGTCGTGCTTTATTCACACTTAACACATTCATTTTATATGAGGCTAAACCTGTACAGCGCGAGTATCGATAGCGCCTCATTAAAGAAAGCCAGTGAAAAAAAAGGATCTGTCTGGATGGGATGGAGCAGCTGATAAGTCAGCTACAGCAGCTGCACCGCCTAGTCTTATTTCGATCACATGAAAGGCCTCAGATTGCGGAATTTGTTTGGTCGTTCTCTAGCTGTAGATGACCCTTTTTTCGCTCTTTCCCTTTGTTGTGAAGGAACTGCTTTGTCGATTCCTCAGGAGGCTTTGCTCCACAACAGATAACTGTATTACTGGTTCGTGTCCTCAATTATCCAGTGTGTGCTAGTTGGGTAATTGTATTGCCAGCAAATATTGCTTTCCCCGAACTTGGTCGGCTTGCAGACAGCGTGAATACAACCAGGCGTCGATTTTTAGGTCAGCTAACGTCGTTTCGCAGGCCTACTCGCCGTATCATCGGTTATCTCAAACTTGGGTAATATAACCTTTATCATATGGGGAGAACGCGCAAAACGAACGAAAAAACGTCGAATATACATGGATATAACATGTATCAAAAATATTACGAGACAAGCAGCGCCTCGTCACTTCATCGTCCGTAGTTGTTGTCCATCCGTCGTCGCGTCCGCCACCCGTCGTCGTCGAAAATAGCCGAAATGATAATAAAAAGGCGGCTCAAAGGGCGCGACTACTGATCAACACCCTCCGACCACGTCCAACCCTGTCATCCATCACCCCCCTCCCGCTTCCTTCCCCCCACCCCCGCCCCTAGCCACGCAGTCTAGCCGCCAGACACTGGCCTGCACTACTCAGCGCGCCTAGCAACATTCCAACAAACGGCGCCGCAAAATAGTGTTGACAGAGATGACAGGGCAAAGCGCTGGAAGACCCAAGCACCATATAGATCATCAGCCGAGCCGAGTTTTTGTAGTTGCCCATGTTTCGTATATTATTAAAACAGGGCTCGGCCCGTCTCACACACGAGCTGCAAAAAATTTTTTTTCCGGAGGGTGAGTAGGGTTGCCCCATGGCGGATGGCGGTTGTTTGAATGTGGTGCCAGCATAAGTTAAAAAAAGTAAGAGGGGAGAATTTTTATGGCTTTTCAGGTTACGCATATGTGATTTGAAACGTATAGGGTAGGCGCATTTTACAGCCCCTGAGGTCATCTGTACACCTCCTACCTTGGCTACGCCCACATTGTTCCCGTACATAAGCCCAGTTTTTGGGCACAAAACTCAGTCTTTCTGGTCCACTCATACTGAGTGGTGGGGGCGAGCTGTTCGCCCACTGCCCTCAGTCTTCACTACCAGGGGGACGAGTATGCGGCTTAAGGGGACTGAGTGGCGGGGGCGAGTTTGATCGCCCACTACTCTCAGTCCTCACTACCAGGGGGAGGGAAAATGGAAAAATTTGATGCTTAGGAAGAGGGAGGGGGGAGAGGAGACATTTGTACATCTACCAACCGCCGCTCGCCCCTCCACACACGCCCACAGCCACGGCTGCCTCTCTATCCCGCCTTTCCACAAGCCAGCCCATACAGCCGCTGCGGCCTGGGTAACGTTGCCCTGCTTTTCCGGCAGGCTGCCAAACGATCCCGTGAGCGACGTCACGAAACACCGTTGCCAGAGATGACAGAGGGATTCCCAAGCACCAACGATCACCACCCGGGCCGAGTTGTAGTTTTTGCCCCTGTTTCGCTGTTCACTTCCACCGGTCTTTATGCGTTTTTGCCGTGCAGCAATAGGCAGCAAGAACGCATATTGCAATGACTCGGTCAGTGTGTGTATGTTTGTGTGTGTGTGTGTATGTATGTATGTGTGTGTTCGTTTGTCCGGGTATTTGAACTCGTTAACCACGCAAGCTTTGAAGCTGAAATTTTGCCAGTGTGTTTTCCAGCCTGGTACCACTCCAGGACCGCGGTTTCAACCCTCGCGCACTTCTGGGCTCCGCGTAGCACGTGAAAGTTTTGGCGCGTGAATCGCTAACTCGGGAACGAGGAAAGCTAGAAAGCTAAAACCTTGGGAGAATGTTCCCTACCCACGTATGACAAAAAGATTTTAAATTCAGCTGCCCAGGAGTGCCTGGGGCTCACGTACGGGCACGTGAAAATTGTGGCGGGAAAATTCATAACTCGAGAATGAGAAAAGCTAGAAAGTTGAAACTCTGGGGGAATGTTCCATACTCATGCACGACCAAAAGTTTTCAAACTCAGCTCCTTAGGACCGCTAGG